AGGTCCCCGCTCCACTCCAAAGGCCTCGGTATTTTTTTTGTCAAGTCAAAAGCTTTATGTCCGTAAGTATATTCACTGTGTTACACTAAGTAATATCTACGTGGTTATCCATAGACGAATATTATTCGTTTTAATTGACAGCTCCATCAGTTTTTCATTAGAAAGACAGACCGTGCTTTCTACATAACAGTAACCAGAATTTCCAAATGAAATTTTTAACCCCGAGTGTATTCAAGCTTTAATACTCGTAGGCCTGGAGGCATCTCTCCTTTTATTGTACGGTTAAGCTAGCGAGAGAATTCTCACAAAATCAATATGAAAATAAAGATTTTAAGTCTTAAGTAAAATCGTGATACTCAAATGAACATCAGTGGTTTTTTGTGTTAGTTTCTTCGTCATTAAATCTTTTTTCTATTTGTGATTTTCCTTTTATCTTCTGTTTCTCGCGACTTTTTCTTGTCCATGTTTGTCTTAACTGTTCTTCGATATCTTCCACGTCTTGTGATCTCTCTTTCACATGTCTTTCTCTGCCCTTCCCTATTGTATTTTATCAATGTTTTTTGTTCTAACCTTCGCTTTTCCATTTTACCTGTCTCATTCTATTTATACTGCCAGAAGTTTATACTTTATTTAGGTGTTTCAAGTTTATAATCCAAAAATAGAACGTAATTTTGCTTCGAACTTAAAAATCTGTACTCCTCCCCCAGTATTGTCAGGGTGATTAAGTCGAGAAGAATGAGATGGGCTGGGCATGTAGCGCGCATGGATGGGACAAGAGTTGTGCACCGGGTATTGGTTGGGAAGCCTGAAGGGAAGAGACAGCTGGGGAGACCTAGACGTAGATGGGAGGATAATCTCAGGCGGGATCTATGGGAGATAGGAGTTGAAGGAGACTGGATTTTGTTGGCCCAGGACAGGGTCCGGTGGAGGGCTTTGGTTAATTCGGTGATGAACCTTCGGGTTCCGTAAGCCATCTGGTTGGTTAATTAGTAATATGTAATATATTTATAATAATTAGTTTTGTGACAGTATCCGCATACCGCTTTATCAGCGAGTGATGGAAGATTTCTAGAGTCTTTATAGCTTAATATCTTTATGAAGGAAAAGTAGGTTTATGAGATATCAGTGTATGGGTGTGTACTCCTATTTAACTGTTGAACCAATTGCGTGTTATATTGAATTCGGTGCGTACTGAATGCAATTAAAGGCCACTCCAATCTTACATTTTAATTTCCTATTGGTGATTAAGAACAGGGCAGACGCTCGCATTTATGAGGTTGGAGTACACACTCTGTCCCTGCCTTAATACAGGATCCTGGAATAGTGTTTGGTGTTGTGTCTTACAAACGTAAAGAAAGCGTTTGTTAATGTAATTTATTTGTAGAATTTAAAAATACATGGGCGGCCAAGCGAAAATTAATCTTTGTTTGACAACGAAAATAAATTGACTATTGGAATTAGGAATGTGACATTTTATTTTAAAAATTACAAACATGGTGACGTTGCGAAACAAATGTAAATTAGGCGTATAATCGAATCTGTATTGATGGTATTCCCCCCAAAATTCTGCTGTTACTACTTCTTAGAACAAGTTTTTCAATATGTTTATAGCAACAAACAGTAAGATATTCTCGTTCGAGCAGGATTTGATCTTGCGACTGTCTATACGCCAGTCCATGACCTACATTTTTCATTTTATTGACATATTTTAAATTGGCTTTAATTAATGTAATATTCACAAATGTCTTGCTTTAGTAGCGTTTAGTTAAATCTAAAACTTCTTGACGATGGTGAAGAGTCAATTGAATAAAATTTTTTGGATATTATCCATCGTCTAGTAAATATAAAACGTAAAACGACGTTTCGGAGATGGGACTCTATCTCCTAGGTCTTCCTAGGTCCGGAGATAGGGATTAGCTCTATCTAGTGGGCCCAACTGTGTAGGAACCTGAAGACGGAGATAGAGTCCCATCTCCGAAACGTCGTTTTAAGTTTTATATTTTACTAGACGATGGATAATATCGAAAAATTTTATTCAATTAGCGTTTAATTGTTTCAGAACGATAACTATGAAACAAATATGGAACCTCCATATTCTACTCTTCTAACGTAGACATGAAATTCCATGCGGGATTTACGAGTTTGTGGTTGTAATTGTAGTGATTTTTATTATATGACACAATGTCCTTCTACCAGGGTACTTGTACTTAAAGAGGGCCAGAGTTCAAAGTGGAACTGCGTGTTATACTGAGCCTCGAGTCGAGATTTCTCAATTGAATCTGGAATGAGAACAAATTCCTCGGCAGTACAGAC